ACAGCGTCTGACCTTTATAAACCCTACAGGTAACCTATGGCTGCAACTTCTGGTCCTTATAAACCCTACAGGTAACCTATGGCTGCAACTTCTGGTCCTTATAAACCCTACAGGTTACCTATGGCAGCACCTTCTGACCTTTATAAACCATACAGGTTACCTATGGCAGCTTCTAACCTATATAAATCCTACAGATTACTTATGGCAGCTTCTGATCTTTATAAATTCTACAGATTACTTATGGTGGCTTCTGATCTTTATAAACCCTACATGCTATTTAATGGCAGCTTCTGATCTTATAAACCATAAATGTTACCTATGTCTGCTTCTTATCTTCATAAACCCTGCACTGTAGTTCAGTCACGTCACACTTTGTGTACATGTGACTAGTAGTTTTGTTATTTAATAACAAACAAATCATCTCTTCCTTTAAATGCAATGAATTTAACTTGATGTTATTTAAATAAGCATATTCAATGTATAATTTTTGTGTTTTTAAGTTGTTGTTTCATTAATATAAGAAATTCAACACACATTTGGATAATTCAGTTAATCATCATATAGTAACATATCCAAAATAAAAATATCATGGCATTTCTATATTTCATACAGTTGTTACTACTTTACTGAAATTGATGAATGTGAGTGGTTTTCTATATTTAATAGAAACCATATATATTTAATAAACCAGTATCATTGAAAATACTGTAACCATGATCATTGATCTTACAAATATATAAGTAAATTGTAGAAGACACTAATATCTAAATATCAGATTAGTTTAATCAGACAAAATATTTTTTTCTATAAAATGCAGATAATTCAGAAAGTGTTAACATTCACTATGTTGAAACACTAATAAATTTGATAATTAAAAGGTTTTATGTAAGCAGAAATTATACACAAAATAAATATAACTAATATTCAATTAAATGAAATGTAATTAAAAATTCATTAACCTTCTTATTATCAACTTGTTTTTATACTGTTGCCAAGTATTGCATTATATCAAGTTACTTAATGCATTTGTAAAAAAGAAACAATAACCAAAAAGAATTGTGTATAATCACCCATTTTCTATTCTAGAATACATAAGTGGGATTAATTACTATAATGAATGGTATTTTGTGAGTTGTAGTTCTTAGGAGCTCTGTAACAGTCATGGGCCTACAAGCCATTTGAAGCATATATATTTTAAAATGTATTTAAAATGGCTCCATCAGTAAGTCAAGAGTTAACTACACATATATCTACAGAACAATATTGCGTATTGTGCTGTCTTACAATGAAAATAAAGTGTATAGCCAGCCACAACCTTTTATAACTCTCGAGAAAGCCTTTTTGTAATTAAAATTCAATTTTCCATTTGTAAAGTAACTTGTCCTATATATTATCAGTACAAGAAAAAACTGATATCAAAATAACTTTCAACTATCATTTTTAAAGCAATAGCTAATGTGTATTAACCTTATTTGTGCTTAAAATTGTCATTCTCATTATCTTTGGAAAACTATTCTTCCAGGTTGCAGAGTCTTTAGGTTTGCTCCATCTTAGTGTTGGGGAGAAAGCTGAACGCCATATCACTGTTGAAAAGAAATATATTGATGTACAGTTGCAACCTATACCATCAACTTCTGTCGAGTGTGTCGCAGGTATTGACAAACAAAGCTTGTCAAAGGATAGTGAAACAAAATCTTCAGAGACCAGTTTCAGAACTGGTCCTTCTAACTGTGTTGTCGAACACACTGTTTCCTTACTTCCAGAAAAAGAATGTCAGCTGTGTAAGAAATCAGTTCCATCGGCCAACTTCAAATTACATTTAGTACAGTGTGAAAGAACTCCAAAACAGAAATATCCTAAAAAAACAGATGTTTCAAGTAAATTACTAAAAAGTGTGTCAGATGATGTTGATTTGGACACATTACTGACAAAGGTTAAAACAGCTGACAATAGATGCAGTTTTCCTAAGTGTAAACAATCTATTGTTACCCTGGGACAGCTTTGTACATTTTGTAATTTTCGCTACTGTTTAAGCCACCATATTCCAGAAGTCCATGGCTGTGGGCAAGCTGCAAAGGACCATGCCCGAAGTAGAATCCGAAAGGAGGGCAAGATTTACCCAGGAAGTGGTCGGCCTCAACAAAAGCCAGAGCCTGCAAAACGTGCACAGTTACAGTTGAGTCTGAACAAAAAGATCTCGGAGCTGTCAAGTAAAAGAAAAGTCAACAAACCTTAACAGTGAAATAAATGTTAAAGAGTAAGAATAATATTTATCTAATCCTAGAATTAATCAGCTAAAGTTTTAAAAATGTTTACTTAATCATGTTTTTCTCAACTATTAAATTGTAACTATAATGTTTTGTCAGATCCAATTTGGTTGTATAAAGCAAAATAAAAATTGGAGTGGCATGAAATTAGTTTATAGCAGTATTTCTAACTTTGTTCATCTACTTTGAATCCCCAAATAAAACAAATGGCTTGTCTGTTATCTAAACTGAAAGTTTGTTTCTGAATAGCAAGTGAAAATCACAATAAGACCAAAATCAGCCATATGGGTACAGTGTGCTTTAATATCATCACTTACATTGTTGTTTCACGGTTTATTTTGCTCGTATGACTTGATTCTTGATAGAAAGATCCAAGAAGAAAATGTTTACAATTCTGCACACAATGAACTCAGATAATGTGAAAAACAAAAACCTCAAATTCTTTCATCTCTAGAAATTACTAATGAACCATAATATCATTCCAGTTGGAAAAATAATTCTTCTTTGTACATGTATATAGAAAATGTTTAATATGTGTGTAGTATATATTACACAAACACTTAAAATGTTAATTTTTTACTATGAATACAAAAGTATAGCATTCTCTCATAATAAATACACATTACATGTGCTTTCTTATTGCAAACCTAGGGTGTTTTTTAAAAAAAAGCTATGACCTGAAAGACTAATTTTTCTCTTTATAAACACACAAAAGACTATTATCAAAACTGATTTTTTTCCCCAACCCAATCATAAGAAATATGGATTTTTCTTCCATGCTGTTGTTTTTATTAAAAGCTATTTCAAATTTGTAACTTATCCCTGCTAAAAATGTATTTTATAGATTTATTGGGGTAAAATGACACTAATAATGGCACAAGTTGTGCAATAGTTGAAATTATCACATGAAAGACCATGTACTGAAAAAACAACATTAGTGTTTTGCAGCCTGTGGTATTGACCATGTACTGAAAGGACAACCTTAGTGTTCTGTAGTCTGTGGTATTGACCATGTACTGAAAGGATAACCTTAGTGTTCTGCAGCCTGTGGCATATACAGATAAAACATACACCATTGGAGTTGAGAAACAGTTTTAATATTCAAACAACATTAATCATATTTAGGTATACATATACCAGTTCAAAATACTCAAGCTAAAAATTACCTAAAAATTTTAATTTTTGACAGAAATGAGTACTATATGATGGTTTATGAACACACCTGTAGAGACACACATAAATGGTTACTCAGAAGTCACATCACATATGAGAGTACATAGAAAGTTTTAAAATGTATACAAGGATGAGAATTTGGTCACCAGTTGGTGGATTTCTTCCAATTCTATTGTCAAATTGGAACTCCACCCAGTTCATTCAAATCCAGTGAGAAAAATGATGGAGGGGTGAGAGTACTGGGGCTAGAGACAAAATACTAATATTAGTAGATTTGATGTATACACTAAATTGATATGTAAGGCTACTTTTAACTGGCCAACTAAAAGAAAGCTGACAAACTGTAACATTCCTTTTGAAGCCAAATGTATCTAAATACCCCTTTGAAGTGCACAAACTCTTTTAAAGTGCAATAGCAGGCAATCAAAAAGTTCAGCATAGAGACAAGCTTTAAATATTTCACTGTTTGCTTTAACAGTGTGAACTTTTCACCAATTTGCTTAGAATTACACAGAATACACATTAATTTTTTCATCACATATTATTTTTACATGCTAATTAATTTAGATGGAGCCTAAATTGGTCAGAGACAGACATGATCTGTTAAAAGTTGGAAGGAGCCGGTATACAACAAAATTCAGATAGACATGATCTGTTCAAAACTTGAAAGGAACAGGCATACAACAAAATTCAGATAGACACGATCTGTTAAAAGTTGGAAGAACAGGTATACAACAAATTCAGATATACATGACCTGTTAAAAGTTGGAAGGAACAGGTATACAACAAAATTCAGATAGACATGATC